AGATAGGCTGTCCTGGTGACAACAGAAATGTTTGGACCACCTCTGCTACGACAGCTTATCTGTGAACATTTGAGGATCCTGTGGACAAACACTTTCTGTTCTCATGCAGGTGTGTGCATGGAGAGGCAGGCAGTGCAGCGGGCCAGGGAGGCCTTCCTGAGCGGCAGGACTCGACCTCTAGAGTTCAGACTGCAGCAGCTCCATGCCCTGCAGAAGATGATCGCTGAGAAAGAGACGGAGATAGCCACTGCTCTCAAACAGGACATCAACAGAGTCAGCACACACGAGAGACTAAGAATAAGATATGAAATACAATGTGTATGTCGGGGCTCGTTTGCTTGCTTAACTGAAAACTGTGTTCCTGCAGAGTCAGTATGACACACCACTCCTGGAGCTGATTGGAATCGAGAACGAGATCAAGCTGGCTGTTGAGAAGCTTGGAGAGTGGGCCGCTCCGCGCCCGGCAGAAAAGAACCTCCTCACTATATCAGACGAGGTTTATATCCAGCCAGAGCCGCTGGGAGTCGTGCTCATTGTCGGGGCCTGGAACTACCCCTGGGGCCTTACTCTCATGCCACTTGTTGGCGCCATTGCTGCAGGTAGGGAGACGCTCTCTCCACACCTGCGACACTCACGTACCCCTGATAACTAATGGGAAAAAAACGGGAATGTTTTACTCTACATAACATCCTCTTTGTTTAAATGTAGGTAAAAAAGTCAGCTGAACTCCATGAAACACAGAAACAATCAATGTAGCTGATAAACTGGTCGGAGTCCCAGCAGATCAGCTGGTCTCGGTACCAGACACGTCAGCTGACGGCTCAGAAACGCAGTCTTTGCTTCCTGTCGTTCAACTTTTGCATTTTGCAAAACCGATTCAAAAAATCAAATACTGATGGAAACAGAGCGTGTGACTGCCTCTCGCTGCATTCTCAGCCTCCTACACGCCTGCTTTGCGTCACACTGATCTCATCCCGTTCACGGAAAACTGTTCTCTCTCTGCAGGGAACGCAGCTGTGGTGAAGCCATCGGAGCTCAGCGAGTGCTCGTCGCTGCTGCTCCGGGCATTGCTGCCTCGCTATCTGGACAAGGTCTGAACACCAGGTCTATTGTTCATGCATTAAAGCCTTGAGCCATCACACTACAGTGCTTTAAACATTTACACCCCAGTGACACACAGGATTCAACGTTTGTTGCCATTTCGCTGAATATGCTGCTACAAAACAGGAATTTTTGCACATTAAATGTTTCAGATGATCAAAAAACAAAGTTTAATAGACAAAAATAACCAAAGCAATTACACAATGCAGTTTTTAAATGATGATTTCATTTATTAAGGAAAAAAGCTCTGCAAACCTGCCCTGTGGGAAAGGGTCATTTCCTCCTAAACATAATAAACCTAATAAACCTAATTCCAGTCAAGCGTTTGTGAGGTTCTACTGTTTCATGTCGGCCAC